CAAAAACAAAAACAACAGCAAAAACAAAAATCTGCAAACAAACAAAAAAATAAGGCTTATCCCCAAGCAGTAGATCTTAAAAAGATATGCTTAAATCAGACCTTAAGGGTTTGGAAAATTTTCCATCATTTATGATGTCAGGTAAGCTGTATCTTGAGACTTCTGTTGACTTGTCCATAGCTCTTCATGGCTTAACTTTAGGGATCTTCTGCCACCAAATACACTCCCATCCCCAGTAAGCTAAAGTAGCTAATGATTTATGAAACATCTGTGCGCTAAAGTCCATCAAAGACTTAAAAAATATATCTAGCCCTCAAAAAATCTGCTTAATAAATGTAGCTTTTATTTTCAGTTCTTTTTTACCAGGCAAGGCACAGCAGTGTATACATTCAAAGGGTCCTCTACATATAACAATAATAGCTGCTATTCATAACATAGGCAGTGAATTTGGAATTTTCAAGCACTATTGGTCAGCTTTTTAATAAGCTTCTCAGGTAGGTATTTCTTTCTTAATTTATCAGAGGAGCTGAGAATTTGGAGACCATGATAATACAGCCCTAGTTGCTTCTGCCTCAGAGAGTTGAACAAGAACTGGGATGTAGGTATATTTGGATCCAAAGCCTATGCCCTTTTGTTTCAACCAGGTTTTGTTTCATTTGCCCATTTTAGGTCATTTTTAGAGTCAGGAAATTGGATCTTCCAGAGGTTCACATATCCAATTTAGGAGTTTCCAAAAACAAAACAACTCCATCCTCCTTTTTCTTCCTTTGGTGCTCATCACAAAAACGGATTAGGATTTTCTTTGCCTGAACAAGATCATCAATTCTCATAACCTAAATGGGTTTTGATCTGTTTCTCCCATCATCTCAGGGGAGGGTATATTGCCAGAGTATCCCTGCCTCTTATGCCGTGAGAGCAATCTCACTGCAATGAGTCGTGTCCTGTAACCCAGGCAGTATCTTCCAGGCAATGATCCCAAACCTGGTATCATTCACTTAAAAATGTGAACAAACTGTATGGAACAGGAGAAAGGGTTATCTACCAAGTCTGATGCCTTCCTCCTCTTCCTCACCTTCCTTAATGTCGAACACAGAACACGTAAGGAGCATTTGCTGTGTGTTAGCCATTGCTCAGTGCTGTGGATGATGGGCACAATCCAACCCAGAATAAATAAAGGTCAGAACTGGTTTAGAGAAAGGACCATGCAGGCCAGAATCCAAAGTTTTCTCAATCCCTACACCATGCCCACATTTGCTCACTAGGGCTTCGATAACAAGAACTACAGATGAGATGGCTTATGCAGAAAATTTATTTTCTCACATTCCTGGAGGCTGGAAGTCCAAGGCCAAGGTATCAGCAGGATGAACGATTTCTCCTGAGATCTCTCTCCTTGATTTGCAAATGGCCACCTTCTGGCCTTGTCTTCACATGGCCTTTACTCTGTTCATATCATCTCTGGTGTCTCTTCCTCTTCTTATAACCACCAGTTTTATTAAATGAGGGCACCACCCTTATGACCTCTTAACCTTGATTCTCTCTTTAGAGGCCCTGTCTCTGAATACATCACATTCAGAGTTGGAGATTCAACATAAATCCTGAGGTAACATAATTCAATCCACAAAAATGGCCATTGCATAAATAGCTATCATGTGCAGTGGAAAGAAGTCCAAGAGAGTAAAAAACCATACTTGTGATAGGAGCATGGATGCTGGAACCAGAGTTTGCCACTTCCCAATCGTGTAAACATTGGTCAAGTTTCTTAACTTCAGTACTTCATTTGTCATCCTCCAAAGCAGGGACAAGAAGAGCACCCACACCCTGGGTGCCTGGGTGGCTCTGTCAGTTAAGCCTGGGGCTTTGGCTCAGGTTACAACCTCAAGGTTGGTGAGTTCAAGCCCTGCATCAGGCGCTGCACTGACTGTGTGGAGCCTGCTTGGGATGACCTCCCTCTCCCTCTGCTCCCCTCCTACTTATGCTCTCTCCACTCCTTCTCTCAAAATAAATAAATAAACTTAAAAAATAAAGAGTAACCACCCTCTAGGTTATTGCCATTTGACATAAGAGTTGGCTAGTAGTGGTAGATAATTTTTTTTAATGTTTATTTATTTTTGAGAGAGACTAAGTGGGGGAGGGGTTGAGAGAGAGGGAGACAGAAGCTCTGATGCAGGGCTGGAACCCACAAACCTGGGAATCATGACCTGAGCCAAAGTCCCATTATTAACTGACAGAGCCTTCCAGGTGCCCCAAGTAGATGAATGGTTTTAAAGATGATATTACTCCTTTTTCTCCTCTGGATGTAACATCACAGAAATCATGAGAATAAAATTCAAGAGAAAAGATGGGGGAAATAAAATACCTTAACTGAGAAGTATTTTTTTTTTTTTGTAATCGTAACAATTTATTCTATATAATAATAATTGTGAAGCTAGGGCTAACACAGAGCCAGACACTTTAGGTTCTTGAATTTGTATTTTATATTTAATTTTTTTTAATGTTTATTTATTTTTAAGAGAGAGAGAGAGACAGAGTGTGTGAGCAGGGGAGGGGCAGAGAGACATAGAATCTGAAGCAGGCTCCAGGCTCTGAGCTTTGAGCACAGAGCCCAAGGCAGGGCTCTGGGGCTCCAACTCATGAACTCTGAGATCATGACCTGAAAGTCGGATGCTCAGTCGAGCCACCCAGGCGCCCTCTTAAATTTGTATTTTAATTCTTTTTATTAAAAAAAAATATATATTAATGTTTACTTTGTTTTGAGGAGAGAGACAGAGCATGAGCCGGGGAGGAGGAGGGAGAGAGAGAGAGAGAGACAGACAGACAGACAGACAGAATTCTAAGCAGGCTCCAGGCTCTGAGCTGTCAGCACAGAGCCCCACACAGGGCTTGGGGTTCAAACTCCCCTGAACTCACGCATTGCAAGATCATGACCTGAGCTGAAGTCAGAAGCTTAACCGGCTGAGCCCCCCGCCCCCCCCCCCCCTTATTTTAATTCTCTATTGAGCACCCATGACAGGTTAGAGATTGTTCCAGGCACTTTGGAAACAGCAGTGAACACAATGGACGGGAACAGCTATTCTCCCCAAACTTAAATTCTAGAATGGATATAGATCATCTTCCCGTTTCACACGCCCCTCGGGAGTTGGGGAAAATGAGATATATCATAAAGAAGGGGAAAAGCCAGTCCGTTCACCAGGTCCTACAGTAGGTTGGCATTGATCACGTGGCCAGGAACTACACAGGGGCAGTGTTAAGTCTGGGTGCTGCGTCGGCTCCCCAAGGGCTGCTCCATCCCAGAGACGCCGCGTTGGGCTTTTCCCTAGTTCCGGCGGCAGAGCCGACGAGTCCGCCCCGCCCTGCAGGGGGAGCCGGGTTCGCCCCGTCGGGCCGGGCCGGCAGCGCGGTCCCGCCACCGCCGACTCTCGGCCGACCGCGGACGGCGAGCGGGCCGCCGGCAGGCACCGAGCGGGTTTCGGGTTTCGAAGCCGCGCAGCGCACCCGGGCGCTCGGCGGCAGGTGGCGGCAGGTCTCGGGTCCCCGCGCGGCGGTCGCCTTGAGTGCCAGAGACTTTGGCTTGACGTCTCCTCACCTACGTCACCAGTTTGACAGCCTCGCACCAAATCAGAGGGCGGCGCTCGCCGGGAGTCCCCGGCGTCACCGGGAGCTCCCGCAGATTAGAACTCGCCTCTCCTAGCTCCTCCCCTCAGTCCCATTTAAAGCTCCTACAGGCTTTACCGAAAAATTGAGGGCTCAGTTTCTGCAGCGCCTTCTTCCACTGCAAGATGGTAAGTGAGGACCTGGGGTTTAGGTAATACGCTGGGGAAACCTGGGGGCTCTGAGAGCTAGTAGGCTTTGCATTTAGAATTTCTTCCACCTTGGACGCAAGATTTCTCTGCTACCTGCCCATTAAAAGGGGTGTTCTCTGCTGCCCCATCTACTTCTCCCCTATCTTCTTCCCTCTCTCTGCTCCCTCAGTCTCTCATTCCCCATCTCTCTCATCCTTTTACCTTCTTGTGTTATTTCTACTCTCTGTACTTTCTCCCAACTTTCTTCCCCCACCCCCCCACCTGCACTCACTTTTCATTCTACTTCTTCCTCTAGATTATGCACATATTTGCAGACATTCGGATTTGAGCTAGTCCAAGGTATTTGAGGTTTGTTTTCTTCTCAGGTGTCAATTGCATAATAGTTCAGCTCTGATTCCAATAATAACCTCAGAGAAAGAGCCTACAAACATGCTTTTAGAATAAAAGAAAATAGTGCTTGATAAACTTTTGGCTGAATTTCTTTGGTCTGCACTGCCCAAGCTGGATTTGCCCAAAAAATAGATTGGACTTTTTCAAAACTTAACTTACTGAGGATATTAACAAATTGTGACTTAATTAGCTTAATTCTCTCTCTCTCTCTCTCTCTCTCTCTCTCTCTCTCTCTCTCTCCTTTTCCTTCTTCTTATTTGTTTTCTCGCTGTTTATGTTATGCCCAAAAAGTCCTCAAGTCAACAAAAGACTTGTAGTGGTCAAAAAGAGTTTGTCCGAAGCTGGACTCTGCTGAAATGAATGGCTTTTACCTGATTAAACATTGACAAATAATTAAGAATGAGCTGTTGTACAAATTAACCCAGGAAGGCTGCATACCTGCCCCTGCTTGGACATTTGGAAAGACTGTGTGTTTGAAGTTTGAGGAGTCGGGGGCAGGAGGGTGTTCGCTGGCTCAGAACACAGTGGAGAATACATGCCAGGCAGTTAGTAGTGGCAAGATAACTTTGGAAGGGCACGGAGACCTAGTGCTGGAGAGATCTAGAGCCTGCTGCCTCTGCTGACTAACGAATTTCAGCTTTAATGATATGTTTACTTGGAGTGACTATAGGTACCGGTACTTGGAGTTAGGAGCAAAATGTATGTAGTTATCTCTGGAATGTATCTATATGTCTATACATCCATCTCAAACAGTTTAGACCACTATAGGATCCAGAAGCATTTAAAGCCAGGGAAAGAAGGAAGGAAGGGATGGAGCAGGTGTGTAATTCAGAAACTAAGAAGCAAAGATAAGGAGGTTTCCTTATATGTCATGTTCAGTCCTTTTCAGCCTTAGCATTCTGGGCTCTTTGTCTTTTAACGTTGTTAGAAATATAATTAAGGTATTGCTAGAAAGAGCCAAATAGTCCGTGTATCTTTCAATCATTAAGTAGAATTCCTTTTACTTAGATCCTGGATAGCCTGTTAGATGACTGAGTCATGGCAACAGAAAATACTCTTGGATATTTACAAATTTGGTCCATCCAATACTAGCCTGTTCTTTGCTGAGAGAGCCTAAGGAAACTACTGGGTACACCCAAGGAGCTGATTCCCTGTTAGTAATTATATTTTGACCACTTGAATTAATCTGGGATCTATGCTTAACACCTGTACTGTTTTTGATTCATTGCATGTAATTTGTGCCTCTTTCTCCCACCCTTATCCCCCTCCAAATCCCAATCATTCCATCTCCTGGGACCCTCCCCACCCCCACCCTGATCCCTCATACTGAATTTCACAGAACACTGTTCTGCCTTGCCAAGACCAGTACTTTGTAGGAGGCCAGAGCTATAATTGCCCGTATTCCACTACAACGTCAGAATCTAGTGTTGACGTTTCCACGGAGACTTGGGTCTCTTTCTGGGCTGCTGGTCTCCTGGACAACAGAGAGCCCCAACAAGCACCACAGGCGCAGGGTAAGTTCTGCTCTTCTGCTTTCCCGGTAGGTCTGAAGCCCATTTCCAGCACCCATAGTTGCAAAGCATCATGGGCTAGAACTCTGTAGAAGAAGAAATGGTATGGGAAGTTGAGGAAAGCACAAAGACTCCTGCATTTTACACCCTAAATGACATGATTTTCTGTACTGTCATATATTGAAAATGAGATTCTTCCCCTCGCCCACTGGACAAGATATATTTCTCCCCACACTTTATAGTTTTTGGAGATTTCCAACCCACTGAGGGAATTTGGTTTTGGGTCAAAGATTTATAAACAATATTAGTGAGATGCTTTTGTAGTCAAGATACCAGTTGGAGCATTTCTTTTGGAATTCAGGAAAGTTTCCCTGGGTATAAGAGAGAGATGAGAAAAAATACTAATATACCCTTTTATTTCATAAGGGAGTCCTATGAACATTGTCTTTTTTTTTTGCATCCATACCATGTTTATTTTTAAAAAGTTTATTTAGAAAGGAAAGCCAAATCAGAACAACAGTTATCTTTCAAAATGATTTATCTCGGTACCCTTTCCTCTTTCTCTAAAATGAATAGCTATTATTTTTCTTTTTTTCTTTTTTTTTTTTTTTTACAAAGCTCTTGACCAAATTTATTTATTTTTTGGTTTGTTTTTCTTTTTAACTGGGTCATGGTTTTGTTTCTTGTTTGTTTTTTTTTTTTTTTTCAAATTTTTACTTAAATTCTATTTAATTAACATATAGTGTAATATTGTTTTCAAGAGTAGAATTTAGTGATTCATCACTTACATATAACACCCAGTGCTCCCAGCAAATGCCCTCCTATTCAGGAGGCCCATCACCCATTTAGCCCATCCCCCACCCACCTCCCTCCATCAACCTTCAGTTTGTTCTCTATCTGTTCTCTTAGAGTTGAATAGTATCTTGTAAGTGGAGGGTAAAATGATTCCTTTTTGCTCAAAGAAGACTTCAATTTTGGAGGTAAAGATAACATTGATGGAAAATCATGTATTAATTTTCACTGGGGGCTGAGTAAATAGTTCTTATAAATATTAAAGGAATTTCTATATTAGCAATCTGGTTTCTAGAAAAACTTGTAGACACTTCACCATTAAATATATGTACTCCTGCTTCTGTCATATTATTTTTTTTTTTGAATTTCAGAAAAAAAAAACAAACAAAACCCCCCCAACATAATGAAACACACTTATATTTCAGGAAGGGAGTTGTTCAGTGTTGTCTTTCTACCACAAGCAACAGAGAAGACAGAATGCCCAAGAATATAAAACCAAACTGTATACAATTTTATTCCTGTCTCCTTACTCATCATTTTACTTTAGTTGAAAATATTTCAGGAATATTTCAGTTTCTGTAGAGATGAGCAAGAGTCAAAACTGTACTAGATGAGGAAAATAAAACAAAAGTAAACCTATAGCATGCATAAGCATAGTTTTTACTGGTAGGTATAGTTTGCTATCAAATATGAAAAAAAAACTTTACAAAAGCATAAGAAACATACGAATGATGACATTTGAAATACATGAATTCAGGGTACAGTTTTGAGATTTCCATCAAGGCCTTCAGAGAAGCAAGATCCAAATTATTTTCAAGTAGAAAGTGATACCACATATAATTCTGAATATGTACTCTCCATCAGCTTTAATGGATAAGCAAACAGGCCAAGATTTTCATGGTTGGGGAAAAATGACACCATCAAAAGTAGGAGTTGATTTTAGAGGCAAACACTATGTTATCAAACGCTAAACCTTAGAAAATAAGATCGAAACTTGGAAAACATAGTGGAATTGCAATGTTATGCCTAGCAGGGGAAGGATCAATAAATATTTGAGTGAATTCATAATGCAGATGGGATGGTTTTTATAAGCTTAGCCAGCAGGAGTTTATATATTAGGAAGAAATGTAACCTCTTAGCTCTTCAAAATTCATCCCTTTAGCCATTTTGGCATATAGTCTATAAATATGTGTCTTTCATAGCATGTTTATCCCTTCTGGAAGCTTTAAATGTTTTGTTTCCTATAAGGAGGCAATAGCTATTTTTAGAAAGGTAATTGGATCCATTAAACTGTCTGAAATCCCTCCATGAGCTCTGCATTACACAAAAACCCCAAGTGTGTTTTCTCAGTTATCCATTTGGTATTTTCACATAGAATCATCCAGTGACTCCAATTTCCCTGTTCCTAACTCATGTTCGTGGGAAGAGGCTCAGCTTTCCTCTCAGCTCTACAGAAACAAGCAGGTATGTATAACCAGGCAGACATGTTCCATGCAAATGCAGTCCATTCTTTTTTTTTTTTTTACTTTTATTTTATTCCTAAACTTATTTGAGTATAGTTGACTCTCAATGTTACATTAGTTTCAGATGTACAACATAGTGATTTGACTTCTCTATACATTATGCTGTGTTCACCACAAGAGTGACTACCATCTGTCACCATACAGATATACTGCTGTCACACTACTACAATATCATTAACTGTATTCCCTATGTTGTGCCGTTTATCCCCATGACTAATGCATGCCATAACTAGAAACCTTTATCTGCCTCTACTCTTCACCCATGTTGCCCCTCCCCCATCGCCTTCTCTCTGACAGAGAATACAGTTTATGCTCTGTATTTATAGGATTCTGCCTTCTATTTGCTTATTCATTTTGCTTTTTAGATTCCACATATGAGTGAATTAATATGGTATTTGTCTTTCTCAGTCTGACTCATTTCACTTAGCATGTAGTTTGTTCTTAACATCACCCCTTAATGTTACTTTGCTTCTTCTCCCTTGTTAAATTCATATGTTGACTTGCAATTTAGAACCACAGTGGGTAAATCTCCACAGAGGTGGACAGGAAGTTAGGTGATCAATGTCACAGGGAAGAAAACAAAAACAACAAATTCAACAACAACAATCAAAACCCTCTAGGGGGCCCTATAGTCAGGACCTGACTGCATACATTTTAGTCCTATGACCTCTTGAATCCTCTTTTTCCATACCTATGGAATTGAAATATTTATATTGCCTTCCTCAGATGGCTGCTTGAAAGACCAAATGGTATATTGAGTGTGATAGTATTTTTAAAGCACACACATGGAGAGGGATGATGATTACAAAGTTTTTGCAAAGATTGCTTCATTTATCACGTTTTATTTGTTGTTGTTCCTGAGAGAATAATTTGATCTAGTGGATATACAAACAGACCAATCTGAGGATGAAGGAAGCCAGCCCCCCTTGTTTTTCTTCTTTTCTTAATGTGCAAGGAAGGAGTCCAGCGAAACCTTTCTAAATCCTTTTTTCTATATTTAAACAGTTGCACGCAGCTCATTTTCCTACATACCTTCCCGATTCCCTTGTGGTTGCAATCTTAAAAGTCATATAATCTCTTCAAACACTTTGCAATGAATAAGAAGTTCAGAGCACAAAACTGAACAATCAGGTGGTAGGTGGGTGTAGATTGAATTTAGGCGTTAGAGGACAAGGGCTCCCGGAGGTTGAGTTTGTAAAACAAATAGAATAATGATCAAGTTTAAGCAGGTTAAGGATCAGTGGCATTATTATAAGGTTACAAAGTCAATATAGTAGAGCAGCCTTCACCATTGTATGCTTTTTTGCAGCTCCAAGATACTCTGGTGCAGAAGGAAGAAGAACTTGCTAGGTTACACGAAGAGAATAATCACCTTAGACAATACCTGAATTCTGCTTTGGTTAAATGTCTTGAGGAAAAGGCCAAGGTATGTAACTATCCCTTTTATAAAAACACAACAGTGATTTGAGAATGGAGGTAATTTGGGTAAAACTGCTTAATTAATTGTAGAAGGTGTACTGAACAGCATGGCTTCAAAGGCATTTCTAGGTTAGATGGAGTTTTCTGAAAGGAAATATAGCACTTTCACAAGAATTTTTATGTATCATTTCTTAGAAGTATCTAGACTGCAGATGTTAGCCATGTATTACAGCAAAAGTTGCTTAAGAATCAAGCCAGTCAAGGGAATTGCTAAGACAACAGAGGTTAATCAAAAGACAGAGAGCTAAATGGATGGAACACTGCAGTGGGAATCAGATCCGAAAGACACTCAGTTCTTCTTATCATCAGATTGACTTTCAGTAAATCGCTCTCTCACTTAGCGTCAGTTATGTTCATCTGGATATACATGGCCTAAAAGATCGTTGAAAATCTCCTCAGCTCTAAACTGTTATGAATATGGCTGGAGCCCAGATTTCTTGAGTGGCAGTTATAGATCACCAATTATGTTATCTTTTAATGAATCGTTTTTCTTATACTCTTAATGAGTTAGACTATTTCTAACTCAAGGACTTATAGCTTGTCCATAGTCTCTTCCTGTTCTTCTTCCTTTCTCTGGGTTTTATATTTCTGTTCTCTTTTTGTCATTTTGTTACAATTATTGCTTCTGTCATCAATCTTTTCCTTGCTTCTAGACAAGCTACGTTATTTGATATTATTTAATTTAAATTGATTATGCTTCTTGCCAATTTTACTGAACATAAAAGTTCAGAGAAGAAAAGATACCATATCTGACTCCTTTACAATCCAGTTAGCTTTGTTAAAAAAGGGAGCACATCTCACAGTTATTAGCTTGGGCTCCTTAGTCCAGCCACCATTTTGTAAAACAAAGGACATTTATTAAATTAGTAAATGATATAGATTAGGCAGGTTTTTTTCTCTCTGTTTCCCAATTGTCCAAGATGTAGAATAATACATATCATACGAAAGTGTTATGAAAGTTAATGGAACAAGAAGAAGCAGTGTTAGTTACTGTTTTCAATCAGTTGCTCTGTCTAGAATCGCATGGCTTCGATTTAATCTAGGCCGCATGATCCTTAGCAAGTCACTAATATGTCTGTGCCTCAGTTTCCTCGCTAAGGAAGATTTTAACAGTACCCATATAAAATGACATTATGCATGTAGCCAGTGTTCAATACATGATAGTTGCTATTATTGTCATTATTATAATAATTACTTTCCTGAATTGAAAATTTAAAGACATTATTTTTTCTTTCAACTTTTAAATGATTAGTAAAAAACATGAATTGTAGTTTCCAGGTAGTAACTTGTCATTATAGATTTTAAGTTGGAAACAGAAGTTAATTCAATCACTTGTGTGTGTGTGTGTGTGTGTGTGTGTGAGAGAGAGAGAGAGAGAGAGAGAGAGACAGAGAGACAGAGAGAGAGAGAGACAGAGACAGAGACAAAGACAGAGACAGAGAGAATAGAATTTTAATCACGTTTTCTAAGGAGTTAAAGTGACTAGTTAATATTTGAAGGAGTTTTAATTAGACAACAGTAAAGAAAATGATCTTGGTTGACTATCTGACTGTATATTTTCAAATGCTACTTTCCTAGAAATTACTGTCATCAGATGAGTTTTCCAAAGCATGTGGAAAATTCAGAAAGGGAAAGAGGAAACCCAAAGAGCAAAGATATTTTCCTCCTGAGATCCCCCATCACAAAAATGCCAAGAGAAACCTCTCCGGTGAATTTGCTAACTGTGAAGAACAACCTGGGCCCCCTGTGGATCCCTGGGTTCTTCAAACACTTGGATTAAAAGACCTCAATACCATTGATGACACTTTATCAGCTAACTACAGTGCCCTCTCCTCTCATCCCAGAAGAATTGCCAGCACATATCCCCAGTTTCCGGATGATGCAGTCAATTATGAAAATATCCCCAGGGAGGATCTGCCAATTGACTATGGAGGTGACCAAACAACCCCCTCACATAGCACTGCCAGGCACGGGGAAGATTTTCACTTACTTTCTCAACTTTCAAATGTGCCAGGAGGGCTGCAAACTCCTCCTTACTATACTTCTGATGTGTCTCCCAATAAGACAGAGATGGCCTTTTCCACATCCCTGAGCCCTCACTGTAATGTGAAAACTCATTCCTTCCACCAGGGACAAGCCTTTGTTTGTCGAGATGAGGAGGGAGGCTGGAAGTTCACTTGGGTCCCTAAGCAGTCTTAGTGACCCCTGCTCTAACACAAAAGACTGCCATCAACTCTGTTTACGAAGACCTCTCTTGCACTTGAACCTGACTATTTGGAATACGGAAGCTATTGCCCAGACTGTCTCCTGCCACTTTAAATGTCAATCTCAATTATCCACTTAAATCTGCAAAGAACAGCTTCCAAGAATCCATGATGAAACATGCCTACTCTTTTTTCACCTAAATTTGACTTGTTTACATAGCAACACCTGCTGTTGACTTCCTCCCTTTGCCCTGTACTTGAAAAGGTATTTTCCAATTGCCTGAATACTTCTTTGAGGCCTGCATATGTTCTTTCAATTATAACAAGTCTAACAGCTTTTCTCCCTTCATCAAGCAGTTTAAATGTTCATAGCCTCCACCCTCTCACTTTCGTCCCTCTCCTGCTCCTCCTTATTTCTGAAAACTGCCTCTAGAGTGAATGCTATCATTGCTCCAAGTGCCTGTTACTGAGTGTTCAGTTAGCTGGGGTAGGGTAGAAAGAAGTGTCTTCGCCCATCATCATTCCCGAAGACATAATGTAGATGTGAGCAGTGTTATATGTAGTACAGTTCAGTAAGTTGAGTGTCCTGTGCTAGAGTTGATAAAGAGGCTCTTCAAAGAGCTATAACTCTAGTGAATAGGAAATACCACTGATAAATTAAAAGATTTAAGAGAATTAAAATTACTTCAAAATGTGCCACGGTACATCAGCTTCTAGAGGCACCTGGCATTGCCTCTTTAACCAACCATCCTAATTGCCTAGATGCTGTCAAACTTCTATTCCTGGAAGTATTTTCATTCATCATTTTTTCACTCATTGGTCCATTCAAAATGATTGTAGGATACCTACCATGTACCAGGCACTGTGCTATGCGTGGTGATAGAATGTGAGCAAGTTAGACCTTGTGGCCACCCTCATGAGACTTACAGCCACTTTTCTGCTGTGACCTTGAGAAACTTACTTCCCAAGTGTGATGATTCAGTTTTCCTGGCTGCATAATACAGAAGCTGGATGAGATAATCACTAACATTCTCTAAATCGAGGCTGGGTCCATCAGTTTTACACCAACATGGCCATCCTAACTCACTATTCTGTTCAATTTTGATAGACACTATACATATATTGGGTGAGCCTTACATATAATTTTTTAAAATGTGAATCATTTGTAGTTCATACAAGAAACCATTGCTCTGATCACAGTATTCCTTTTCTGGTATGAGCCCATTTTGCAGGTTAATTCAGCCTCTGTGAGAGTAACTTGCTCTAACAAATAGAAACATTATTTTTTTAAATAAGTGTGCATAAATTTAATGTAAATTTTGATGTCAAAGATTTCTCTCTGAATAAAAAAAATAAATTCTTAGTGCTAATGCTAGTTCTCCTCAAGCTCTCTATCCTTCCCAGAATAATTTACAATCAGAGATGCGCACCTATGTTTTTTGGAGAAAACTACAGTTACTGATAAAATTCACCACCTTGAACCTCTTTCCTGTTTTTCTGTTTTCCACCTCTCACTGCGTGAGAACATGAGTGTGCCCTTTGGAATTCTTTGTAACTGAGACATGACTTTTGTTGTTGTTTGGTTTTTGGTGTGTTTTTGTGGTTGTGAGCAAGTAATCTATTTTATTAAGTTTTGTTACCACATTGTATTCTTTATAATCCATGAAGGAGAATCTAAGATACTAACTGATGTTATTCTCCAGAGTATTTTCATGACTTAGGAAGAGATAGAACACATTCTATTTTCTAAACACAAAACAAAATAAAACAAAACAAAAACAAAGAAGTGCCTTACATTGCAGTATCGGTGCCCCTGGTGGGTAAAATTTATCTTTTTAAAATAACAAATTTAATAATTAAAATTAAAGAATTAAAATTGATTATAGTTTGATACACTAGGAATCAAGAAAGCAACATAACTATTTTAAAAGTCTAAGTGATCAAGCTGTAAAACAAAATTGATCAGTCAACAAGTATTCATTTTGCACTTTTGTGTGCCGTATCATGGTCATGTACCATGAGTAAACACCCAGGCTTAAAAGGATGCGTTTGAACGGTAAAACAGAGCCTCATAAAATGTAATAGTTTAAAATGAAACTTGGTCCTTGCCTGGTTTAAAGATATCACAGCACTCTTGTGATAAATTATGGTAACTTTCTCTGGCTTATTCCATGGATGAAAGAAAGTTACCACATCTTGTGACCATACCTACAGACATTTGATATTTAATGGCATTATGTATAAAAAAATATTTTGTTGATGTTTGAGAAACTGGAAATTTCTCTCACCTGAGTATATGTTCTAACTTTTAAAGTTTTACCATAGTACTTCAGTAAACCACAGTTAAAATTTTATTAATGTAAAGTGAGAAATAAAAATTAAATACTTTTGTGATTGTGATAAATATCTTTATATTGTGTAGAACATTTTCTAGGAATGGATTTTCTTCTCCTAGGTTTTAACCATAATCCTATTTATTGATTTGTACCTCTTTTATATGATGTATATGGCCAGACCAATCTTCAGCATTTAGGGTTTAACGGTTCTTTTCCTTATCCAGGATACATTAATGAGGCTTTCAGATGTTAAGTGGCCTTGAGTCAAGTGCTTTGTAGGCACAGCAACATAACCTCCCATAAATACTAGCTAGCATCCGGCATCAATTTTAAAATTTTGATGACATTTCCTATGTTCTCTGATCATCTGAAAATAAATCCTACCTAAATCTCACTAATATCTGGAAAATAAGGGCATTTGGAAAGCTTCAGTTATGCAGGTGACATATAATGAATGAGATTAATTTAAAAGACTGCAGTGATGATAAACTATAATCTTGAAAAAATGGCAAAAAAACTGTGAATCAATGTAAAAAAGTTGCTGTATTTTCTCTATTGCAAAAAAACAAATATTTTTCAATGTGACAGATGAATTCAATAACCAGCCTACATCACAGGTTCAAAGGAAAAAGTATAGAATTTAGACATCTGGTGATGATTTTTTGTAAGTTTACGTCTTGTCTATAAAGTCAGAATACACAATTTTACATGTGTTTCAGTTAACCAAAAGATTCGTGTGGGCAAATATTAGATGCATCATTTTTTCTTTATTTTTCACAAAACCAAATAAAATTGGTTTACAACCTACACATGCACAGTGTAAGTATATTTCTTAACATATTTGTTGTATTTTTATCTATATTTTTTTGTTACGTGAACATCATCCGACATCCAGTTATAATTCTTATGTTGGATAGTCTATAAATGTAAAATATAATTTAACAATTAATATTTTAAATGACTTTGATTTGTTTGTGATTGAAAATATTTCTAATTATATGTGAGTCAATTTTGTAATGAATTCATGTCTAATAAATAAATAAATGGCAAAAGCTTAATCCTACTTTTGTCCCTTATTTTAAAAATGTGCTTCAATGAATTGAGCAATAGACTAAGAAAAAGTTTTCAGGTCTCATTTCTGCAATAAATATTATGGTATAGAAAGGAGATGTGTATTAATTTTCAAAAAGTGTTAAGATTAATAATTAAGGTACTTATTCAATACATAATAGCCTGTGTCCAGCTCTATAGAAGATAAAGGATTGAAATATGTGCTCCAAGTAACTTGCCTATAAATGAGAGAAACATAAATATGCTTATTCAAACAAGCGAATAATTAGCTCTCATAATTGAAAAGTTTGTGTTTCAGCGATAGCTGGATCTAGGTGCCCAAGGAATATTGTCAGGAATGTGGTTTGGAATCTGATGACTAGGAATGGATTCTATAAAGGTATTGAGACAGTACCTTGCCACACAAAAGCATGACCGAAACCAGGATGGGATAGGCAATGTAAATTTAAAAAGCAGCAAACTATATCCCATAATTTGTTCTCTAGTTTTGCGACATTCTCCTTGTCCTTCACATTGTAATTCCCCAAAATAAATAAAGCTTCAGTTCGATGTTCTAGTTACAGAGTCTACATTTGAAAACCATGGCCAGATTTTCCCTAAGTGAACTAGATAGGGCCTATATCCCTAAGGGGAAGATTAATATCAAGAGAAAACGGTTTGAGACTTGCATAGCAGGGCAATAACCCATTGCTACGGGGAGATTCTATTACCAGTCATGGATAAACTGGATTTTATTTAGTTTACTTACAGGGATATTTGATTTATTTTTCATTGGAGAAAACTATACCTAAAGCTCACTCACTTTTGTTTTTAATGTATTAATTTAAATTCAAGTTGGTTAACATACAGTGTAGTCTTAGCTTCAGAAGTAGAACCCAGTGATTCATTACTTACGTGTAACATCCAGTGCTCATTGTAACAAGTGCCCTCCTTAATGCCCATCACCCATTTAGCCCATCTCCCACCCACCTCCCTCCAGAAACCCTCAGTTTCTTGTCTGTAATTGTCTCTTATGGTTTCCCTCCCTCTCTGTTTTTATCTCGTTTTTCCTTCCCTTCCCCTATGTTCATCTGTTGTGTTTCTTAAATTCCACATAAGAATGAAATCATGACATTTGTCTTTCTTTGACTGACTTATTTCACTTAGCATAATACTCTAGTTCCATCCACATTGTTACAAATGGCAAGATTTCATTCTTTTTGATTGCCAAGTAATATTCCATTATATATATATATATATATATATATACACACACACACAATGGAATATATATGTGTGTATATATGTATGTATATACACATACAACATCTTCTTTATGTATTCATTGGTCGATAGACATTTGAGTTCTTTCTAGTCCTTGGCTATTGTTGATAGTGCTGCTATAAACACTGGGGTGCATATGCCCCTTCAAATCATCAATTTTGTATCCTTTGGATAAATACCTAGTATTTACTTTACGAGTAGAAGTAGTATAACTTCTGGTTGTAGGGTAGCTCTACTTTTAGTTTTTTGAGGAACCTCCATACTGTTTTCTAGAGTGGCTGTATCAGTTTACATTCCTACCAACAGTGCAAAAGTATTCCCCTTTCTCTGCATCCTCGCCAACATCTGTCATTTTCTGAGTTGTTAATGTTAGCCATTCTGACAGGTGTAAGGTGGTATCTAATCATGGTTTTGATTTGTATTTCCCTGATGATGAGTGATGTTGAGAATCTTTTCATGTGCCTGTTAGCCATCTGGATGTCTTCTTTGGAAAAGTAACTATTCATGACTTCTACCCATTTCTTCACTGGATTACTTGTTTTTTGGGTGTTGAGTTTGATAAGTTCTTTATAGATTTTGGATACTAACCCTTTATCTGATATGTCGTTTGCAAATATCTTCTCCCATTCCATCAGTTACCTTTTAGTTTTGTTGATTGTTTCCTTTGCTGTGCAGAAGTTTTTTTTTTTGTTTTGTTTTTGTTTTTTTAAATGTGTGTGAGGTCCCAATAGTTCATTTTTGCTTTTATTTCCCTTGCCTCTGGACACATGTCTAGTAAGAAGTTGCTGTGGCTGAGGAAGTTGCTGCCTGTTTTCTCTAATAGGATTTTTATGGTTTCCTGTCTCACATTTAGGTCTTTCATCCATTTTGAAATTGTTTTTGTGTATGGTTCATTCTTATGTGTGTCACCGTCTAGTTTTTCCAGCACCGTTTGCTGAAAAGACTGTCTTTTTTTCTGTTGGATTCTCTTTCCTGCGTTGTTGAAGATTAGTTGGCCATACATTTGTGGGTCCGTTTCTGGGTTCTCTATGCTGTTCCATTGATCTATGTATCTGTTTTTGTGCCAGTACCATTCTGCCTTGATGATTACAGCTTTGTAATACAGCTTGAAGTCTGGAATTGTGATGTCTCCAGCTTTGTTTTCTTTTTCAGGATTGCTTTGGCTATTTTGGGTCTTTTCTGGTTCCATACAAATTTTAGTTTGTTCTAGCTCAGTGAAGAATGCTGGTGTTATTTTAATAGGGATTGCCTTGAATGTGTAGATTGCTTTGGGTAGTATCAACATTTTAACAATATTTATTATTCCAATCCATGAGCATGGAATATTTTTTCCATTTCTTTGTGTCTTCTTCAATTTCTTTCATAAGCCTTCTATAGTTTTTAGCATACAGAACTTTCCCCTCCTTGGTTAGGTTTATTTCTTGGTATCTTAAG